AAAACTTTAGGCATTAATTGGAATCCAGCCAAGGATCTGTTTCAATATCGCATTTCCAATGAATACATTAAAGCAAAAACGCATACTAAGAGGTCGATATTATCACAGGTTTCGCAAATATTTGACCCGCTAGGCCTTTTAGGTCCAATTATTATAACGGCAAAAATTATGATCCAGCAGCTCTGGAAAACACAAATTGGCTGGGACGAATCATTACCACTGGAACTACAAGAAAAATGGTCACATTATACCAAGGATCTGCAAGAGCTAGGAAAGATCAGCATACCACGAAAGATTGTAGTCAACAAGAGTGTTCGCAGAGAAATTCACGGTTTCTGTGATGCAAGCGAGCGAGCTTACGGGGCTTGCGTTTATATGCGCAGTGTCAAGGCGAATGGAGCTATAGAAGTACATTTGATATGCTCCAAGTCACGTGTCGCACCCATCAAAGTACTTTCTGTACCCAGATTGGAGCTTTGTGGTGCACAACTATTAGCGCAGCTCGTAGACAAGGTTGTGAGTTCTTTAGAAATCAACATCGACAGCAAGCATTATTGGACTGATTCGCAAATCGTCATTTATTGGCTCCAAGCGAGCAATAAGAAGCTACCAATCTTCGTAGCCCATCGAGTCGGAGATATTCAAGAATCAACATCGGTCAACAATTGGAAACACGTCGGAAGCAAGGAGAATCCCGCGGATCTTCTTTCGAGAGGCACCAACGCCAAGGAATTGGTGATTTCACAACTTTGGTGGGGAGGACCTAGTTGGTTGCATAATGAAATCCTGCCAGAGGAACAAGAGGAAACAACAGAGTATGATGAAAGTCAACTTGAAGAGCATGATAGATCAAAGGTGGTCGCAGTATCCAATCTTTCGCAGATCAATCCATTCGATAAGTTCTCTACATTCAACAGACTTATTCGAGTAGCGGCTATGTGCGTACGCTTTGCGCATAATTGTAAAGGGCAAAAGCAATACGGACCTCTAACAGTTGAGGAATTACAAGGAGTCATTAAGAAGTTAATAAGACAAGAACAAGAGATCACGTTTGAAAAGGATATCAAGGATTTAAGAAACAAAGGAGTGGTATCAAGTCAAAGCAGCCTAAAACAATTAAATCCGTTTATTGATGAGGAAAATCTGCTACGTGTCGGCGGCAGACTACAACGTTCAAACCTACAATCCGACGTAAAGCATCCTTATCTATTACATCAACGATCTAAATTAACAAAACTTATCATTGAGCACGAACACAGAAGACTTATGCATGCTGGAGCGGAAGCGACGTTGGCTTCGGTACGACTTAAATACTGGCCGCTCAAGGCGCGCGGTACAGTAAGAAAACTACTACGGCATTGCATAAAATGCTTCAAGCATAGGCCAAGATTTTCGGAACAGCTAATGGGGAATCTGCCTAGCCAACGTGTAACACCATCAAGACCATTCAGCTGCGTAGGCATAGACTTCTGTGGACCGATATACGTGCGAGAAGGTTCTCGTAGAAACAGCAAGAACATAAAGGCTTACGTCTCAATATTTGTTTGTTTAGCAACTAAAGCAGTCCATTTGGAGGTGGTATCAAACATGACCACTGATGCATTCCTTAATGCATTCAAGAGATTTATTGCGCGAAGGGGTCGACCTTCAGACGTCTTCTCAGACAATGGCACCAACTTTGTCGGTGCCAATCGGGAGCTGGAAGAACTTCGAAACTTGTTCAACCAAGAAGAGCATAAACATAAAATCATAGACGAAACATCCAATGAGCAAATCAAATGGCACTTTATACCACCACGAGCCCCTCATTTTGGCGGGCTTTGGGAAGCCACAGTTAAAGCCTTCAAAAAACATTTTTACAAAATCGCATCTGATGTGGCCCTTACCTTCGAGGAAGCTTCGACTTTAGTCGTACAGATAGAAGCCATTCTGAACTCGAGGCCATTATCTGGCATGTCTAATGATCCTAACGATTTTAGTTATATTTCTGCAGGTCATTTCCTTATAGGTGACGTGATAGTATCACATCCGGAGCCGGACATCACTCAATTAAAGGTAAACCGGCTCTCGCGATGGCAACACTTAGAACAGATGAGGCAGCACTTTTGGAGACGCTGGTCCCACGAGTATTTGTCACAACTTCAAAATAGGACGAAGTGGCAATCAAGCCGTGGTCCCGCATTGGAAATCGGACAACTAGTAATCTGTCGCGAGGATGGACTCCCTCCTTTAAAGTGGATGTTGGGAAGAATCGAAGAGGTCTCACCAGGCACTGACGGTATTATTAGAGCCGCTACAATTAAGACATCAAATGGATCATTCAAAAGGCCAGCCACCAAATTAGCGGTATTACCCATCGAAGACGAATTAAGCAAGGAGAAATAATTCATATTATGGTTTATTAAGTCAGATTGTTAGTTCACATTTCTCCTCTTTTCTTTCATAATTTTATGTATACTCATATAATCATATTGTACTACGACATAGATTTAGTCGTATCATAAGTTTATTTCTTGTGTGTTACTTGTCAATTTAGTCAGGAAAAGCGTATAACAATAATCATAAGTTTAGTTCTTAGTTTTGAGTTAATAATATGTTACAAATTCCATGTGATAATTATTTCGATAGTCTATTGCCTATCAAGGCGCGCGGTATGTGCGTGCATATTATAACTGCGTTTAGTTTCGCGCCACGCGATGTCTCAGTAATAGGGCCTCGCTTAGAGATGGCGTTGTGTAGAGAGGGCGTTTTCTTCAGTGTATCAATATAGGCGAGAAGAAGAAGTGAGTTAACGGTTTTAAGAGCGGTTGTAAAGAAG